ATATTTGATTCTTAAAGGCGTTTATAGGTGCCTCCGTTATCGGTATTAAATTATGTTCGGAGCTTTCATCGCTATGCATAGTACCTGTCAATGAATTTATTTGGGGCGGTCGTGAGAGTGCATCGGCGACCACATTTGCCTTTCCCGGTTTGTAATGCAATTCATAATTGTATTCCTCCAAGATGGCTTTCCATCTTTTCATTTTATTATTGTTGTTTTTTGTACTAAGCGCGTACGTCAGGGGCTGGTGATCGGTAAAGATTTTAACCTTATCCGATCCGTAAAGGTAGTTTCGTAAATTACATAAAGCCCAGATAATCGCCAACATTTCCTTTTCATTTCTGGCGTAATGTTCTTCTGTCTGGCTTAGTGTTCGGGATATGAAAGCAATGGGTTTATCATTCTGCGAGAGTACTGCGCCAATCGCGTAGTTTGAGGCGTCTGTTGTTAACTGAAACTCTTTTGAATAGTCGGGATGTATGAGCATTACTTCCTCGGCAGTGAGAGATAATTTAATTTTGTTAAAGGCTTCGATTGCGTTTTCATCTAGTGATATATGTGTTTTTTTTGAAACGCTTTTGGGCTTACGCCCATCTTCCCCTCTTAGAAGGACTGTAAGGGGTTTTGCCAGCTTCGCATAATCTTTAATGAAGCGGCGATAATACCCTGAAAGTCCTAAGAAGGCACGAAGATCTTTCAAAGTTTGGGGCGTAGGAAAGTTCACTATCGCTTCGGTTTTTTTTGGATTCGTCTTGAGGCCCTTCTCGGAAATAATAAATCCCAGAAACTCAACCTCAGATTTTAAAAATTCACTCTTATCTTACTGTATTTTTAAATTGGCGTTCTCTAGAGTCTCGAAAATGATTTTCATGCCATTGAAATGAGTTTCCTGGTCCTTGTTGAAGATGATAATATCGTCTATATAAACATAACATCGCTTGCCGATGTGATCCCTGAGAATATCGTCTAGGGCTCTTTGGAAAATTGAGGGAGCATTTTTCAGCCCAAAAGGCAGTCGAGTAAACTCGTACTTACCGTTATTTATAGAAAACGCTGTTTTTTCAATATCCGATTCTTTAAGTGGGATTTGGTGAAATCCACTTTTTAAATCGATTGTTGAAAAATATTTGTTTTTACCAAGTTGTGCCAATACATCTTTGATTTCGGGAATGGGATATTTGTCGGGCATTGTTACTAAATTTAACTTTCTATAGTCGACCACCATACGGTATTTCTTTTCTCCCGATGCGTCTAGTTTCTTCGGAACTACCCATACGGGGGCGTTATACGGCGATCTAGATGGTCGGATGAT